CCACCCACTACACACACACACACCCACACGCGCACCCACTATACAAACACACACACACACACACACACACACAAACACCCACACAAACACCCGCCCACTATATACACACAGACACACACACAGACACACACACAGACACACACAAACACACACACACCCACCCACTATATATATACACACACAGACACACACAAACACACACAACCCCACCCACTACACACACACACACACACACACAGACACATTACACACACACAAAAATACACACACACACAGACACATTACACACACACAAAACAAACACACACACAAACCACACCCACTCACTGACCTATTTCTGTTAGCCGTACTGTATCCAGCAGGTAGAGGCCACTCCACCCCAAACATGCTAGATCTACGTATCCATCTGTAATACACAGGAGCGCCCGTGGTATCATAGGCAAAACACTCCAGCATGACGTCATCACCCTGGATTGGTGTCGTCGGGAGTATGGAGAGAAAGTCGTCAGGTATTTCTGACGTCAGAGTCGGCATGTCAGTCGGTGGGTTCGGGTTCGAAGCCACGTTCAGGAAAATACCATTAGAATGGGACCTGCTGGCTTGGGCGTCCTTTCCTGGAGAACAGATAAATGATTTTAAAATAAGAACTAAACAAAAAATAAAATAATTTAAAAAAACAACAACCCAGAATACATAAATAAGTAAATAAAAACAAATAAATAAATAAATAAATAGATGAATAGATGAATAAATAAATAAATAAATAAATAAATAAATAAATAAATAAACAAATAAATATTCTTTCAATATAACTAAGGCTCCGTGTCCACCAAAACGGAAACCGACCGACCGTTTGTCGTCCGTCTCCCGGGAAGCCGTTTGGTGAAATGGAGCATCAGTTTTTACTTTAGAAATCAGTGAAAATTCTGTTTGGTTGTGTCTACCAAAACGACACGACACCTCAAATAAAGTGAAATTGAGCTTTTTATATGTCATAATAATATGAAGGCGACGAATCTCAAATAAAGCGAAATTGAGCCACCTGTTTATGTCATACTACGAAGACGTATAATCTTTAAGTGAAACTAAGCTAACTATATTTTTATTTCATACTACACAGGCAAAAAATCTCAAAGCGAAACTGAGTTAACTATATTTTTATTTCATACTACACAGGCAAAAAATCTCAAAGCGAAACTGAGCCAACTCACCTCTGAGCTCATAGCCAGAGCCTGCAGCCGTCAGGTTGACCACACAGTGGTAGGTGCCCGAGTGGGTGAGGCTGAGCGAAGAGAAGTACAGACGGCCATTCGTGGCGCTGGAGAAGACAGTCGGGGTGCTCCTCTCGCTGACGATGTTGTAGGGGTTGTTGCCAATGTACCAGCTGTAGGTCACTCCGGGGTCGCTGTAGATGTTCGGGCACTTGAGGATTTTCCTCTCGTAAGCCGTTACGTTGACCACTTGCATCGGGGTTCCCGGGAATTCTCCGAGTACGCCGAAGCTCAGTCTCGCTACACGACTCATAATGGAGCCGGAGTAGGTGTACGCGCGGCATTGGAAACGCATCGGAATTGGACCTCTGCTCAGGAAGAAATTCTCCACGGAGATTTCTAGAACGCTGTCGACTCCGTCGAAATAAATGGAGTGGAGATCGTCGTTCACCAACTGATTGAACAGAGGGTTAGTGTCGTATTCACTTCTGGAGAACCACTCGTAGGACGGCGAGGGCGCGGACGGGTAAGTTGAGGCCCGGCACCGGAACTTCACGGTGGTCAGTTGACCCACGACCTTCACGTCTGTCGGTTGTTGCGTCATGTCCAGTCCGGTGAATAGCTCCATCGAGTGGCCGTTTCCGAAGGCGGGGCCTAGTATGACTGACAGCCAGAGGCAGGCTGTAATGACGGCAAGTGGGCGGAGCATCTTGCTGAGTGCTGAGGAAGAACAAACGCTGAAAACTTGGCTCATAGTTTTTTTTCGGAAGTGTCTACGTACTCCCCGATTGGGGTCTACGTAGTCATGGTGTCTAGGTGGACCCCAAAATGTTGGATTGTGATTGGCTCGCTGAACGAGCGGTAGTTTACATTGGTTACAACAAAGATACCACACCCTACGGTAGGCTGTACTATCTTTGGTTACAATGCAAGGCTACTGATCATCTCGGGCGGTGTGTCGATCTAGTGTTACTATAATTTATTTATTTTAGCCCAGAGAGAGAGAGAGTATTTAATGAATAAACGTATCTAGATCTAGAATCTAGATCTAATCTAGATGTCTAGATCTAGATCTAGAATCTAAATCTAGACCGAACTGAACCCTCTTGGCTGGGTGCACAACAAAATCTAGATCTAGATCTACATACGTTTATTCATTAAATACTCTCTCTCTTTCTCTCTCACTCTCTCTCTCTTGGCTAAAATAAATTAATTATAGTAACACAAGATACACATACTACCCGAGATGATCAGTAAGTAGGCCAAGCAGCCTTGCATTGTAACCAATGTAAACTACCGCTCGCTCAGCGAGCCAATCACAATCCAACATTTTTGGGGTCCACCTAGACACCATGACTACGTAGACCCCAGTCGAGGAGTACGTAGACACTTCCTTTTCTTATATCGATACCTCAGAACTACAAAGATCTATCTGACTATTGTTACTGTTTTAGTTACTAACAGCAGAGAAATGAAGAAGTGAGAGCAGCTGTCGGCACTGAGTCCTGCCTGCGTTACATAGAAAGACAGAGGATAAAATAGATTGGCCACCTGTTACTACGCATGTCACCTGACCAGTCAGCCTTGAGAGCCTACAACACCAAGCACTCAGGCTATAAAGGAAAAGGAAGGTCACGCAAAAGGTGGATCGAGGGTGTCAAGGAAACCCTAAGAAAACGTAACATCACAACTGAAAGAGCTGCGGAGCTGGCCTACCATAGAAAGCTGCATCTCCCCTCGACGTTTAACGGCGACAGAAGATGAAAAAGTAAAAAGTAAAGTAAGTAACACAGTGAGGTCAAAAACCAAATATTCTCTGCTCCATCAAAATCGGCAAAAGACTTTTCGAAGTCATTATTAATTCAAGGAATTGCATTCATTAAATTTAAAAAAATGGCATGTTGTGAAACTGAAAACTTTTAACGTCAAATATTTCACAAAACTGGGTTCTGAGCAGATAGACATTTGTAAGCATTCTAAGGTAGCGATATATTTGTCACGACGTGGGGGAATCAGGTGCTGGTAAATTTTTTGAGCTTTGAAGTTATTGATATCATCTTAAAGCTTGTATTTTTATTTTTATTTTTTTTTGTCTTGCTTGAGATAAAAAAAAAAAAAGACCAAACAAACAACCCATCCAAGTTAAATAGAAGTTGGGATATTTCAATTTCAGGAGGTGGGGCTGGCCTGGTTTCAGAGGTACACATTAGCGAGAAAATGGTCGCCAAAGTTTGGTGACTTTCAGAGCTTGAGTGTTCTGTGAAACTGTCAATTTACATTTTGTTGTGCTTTTGATCAACGTTTTTTTGGTGAGACCCACACAGAGCATGTTTTAAATGGACGTAAAAGGTGTTCAGTCAGAAAAAAAAAAAACAAGATAGAAAATAACCCAATGACCAGAAAAAAATGCCCATTCCTTTGATTTTTATTAATTTGACGAGCGCCTGATTTCACCACCATACCTCATATATGGATGGTGACCAAGATAAAAGTTGGGCTCATCAGATACGTTGCAATAAATCTGCCACAAAAACTTTGCCATTCGGATGACTGCTACTTTTGTATACAGGAACCAGTTAGGAAGGACTTAAAAGAAAACGGAAATTTCCGAAAAGTAAAGATGATTATCCTGATATTCCATGTGCCCGACACCCAGTACCATACAGCCAAGATTTACCAAAATGTGTCGTGACTCGGAGACATCAGGCGCTCGTTAATTGTTTTGGCATATATGGAGTTACAGCTATCATCTTAAAGCCTGTTCATTTGTCTTGGTTTATGGTGTCCAAAAATTACCAATTTATCTTGAATAGAAGTCGAAAGAAATACTTACTACATTGAAGCAGACGGGGGTCACTTAGTGTCAGAGGTAAATACTTTACGTACTTTACTCTTATCCGCTGCTTTTTTTTTTTATCCCTTTTGGTAAATAAAGAGGTACGTAAAGGGAGAAAATGGCCGCCAAAGTTTAGTCACTTCCAAAGCAGTATTGTCCTTTAGAAACTACAAGTGTACATATTTTGTTGTACCGTTGACCAACGTTTTTCTGCAAAATCCACGCAGGAATGTGTTTTTAAATAGGCATAAAACGCGTTGCGCCCAAAGACAAAAAAAAAATCCATTAAAAATTACACAAAGGGAAGAAGAATGTCAATTTCTTTGATTTCATTATGTTGACGAGCGCCTTACTTCACCACGATGCCTCACAATTCCTGTCGCGCCAGATACACGTAGGGCCATTCCACGGTAACTCACAGGACATTTGGACGACACTTTCTTACAATGATAACACTGTAATTCAATATCAACAAATATATTTCAACTTTAAATGATCAGAACATTTAAAAGACATATTAAGAATCATATTAAATGCAATTATTTGAAAAAAAAAGTACTTTATTATGCAAATTTTTTTAGGGTTTTAGTTTCGGTAACTGACGGAACAAATGGGGTATTTTTCTGCCCAGACAGTTACAGTGGAACAGCCCATTACTGAACTGAGAAAACGAGGCAAGTAAAATAAACCCTTGAATAGTAGACTGAAGCTTCAACATCAAATGAACTGATTTTCACTCCAAGTTTTTCACATGAATGGTCTATATGATCACGCAAAATTGACTTAACGACCCCTTGTAGAGAATTCACGGACTCAGAATTAAATTACACAGTTATATATCTGCTCAGTACCTAGTTTTCATAAATTTGGCTTCGAAGATTTTGAGTTTCACATCATTCCAAGCTTTTTCGAATCCAATTCTTTGAATATCTTGAAAACGACTCTGTATAAACACTAATACGAATTCGATAGAGCAAATTATAGAACATTTGGCGTCTGACCTAGTGGTCTTTGTAACCCAAACCAGCCAAAAATGTCGGACAGAACTTTGTTTTTTAGTTTTAGTACATGTAGAGGTTTTACGGCGCTCGCAACTGCATAATGTCATATGAGCGCCTGAAGATTAGAGGTGTTGCAAGAGAGTAACAAACATAAAAAAGAAGAAGGGGAGATAAGGACGATAGATGTTTGATAGGAAAGAAGAAGCAAACCACACCAGAGCACCCGCCAACCACCCACCAGAACTTTGTAATTCTAAAGTAGCGAATTATAGCTGCCAAAACTCAAAGCTGAATTATCGCTGGGCTCAAGGCTTTAGCTATGGAATCTAATTGCTGACGCGGTTAGATAGTTGTCAAGTAGTTCATTGGTCCATTTACATCAAGTAAAACACACCTAAGATCATCAAACGATAACACCCTACTTGTGACACCTGTAAAATCATACAAATCATATGGAGAGAGATCTTTCTCATATCTTGGTCCAT